GGGCGCAATTTTCAACGGATTTGCACCAAAATTTACATGCACATGCTCCAAGTTAGCGGGAAGGCCAAAACTGACTCTGCATTTCCCAACTCCCATCAATAGTGGAAATAATCGATTTTTTCATGCTTCTATGGCAGTTTTCATGTAGTTTGCAGCCATTTTGTACTGGCCAGAGTGAGAGCCTATAGCTGGCTGCCACAAATAGGCAGGAAGATTCTATTGGCCAGTGTAAGAACCAACAGCTGACTGACATGAATGTTAACTAGCATGCAAAAAATATCGATAGCTGCATTCGTCACAAATAGGAAAAATTTAAATCTGCATGGCACTTTACTTCAATTGGCTCATTCGCTTGCTTAAACTCAACGTTGATTCTGATTCTGCAGAACTGGGTTGGGTGTGAAAAAGTATTTGTTGTTAACATTCTTTTTTCATTCGGTTTTTCCAGTTACGAGTCCTTTTTTAAAGCTGATCGTTTTGTGTTCATTTTGTTTAGTTCTTTTTTCGTAACAGATTTAATGTTTACTATAGAGCTTAGAAAAAATTCGCAGTGTGAGATAGGCAAGATTCTTGCAAGAAGTAAGGCATGTAGCAACATCAACACAGCAAAGGGCACTCTTTTAAAAGGCAAGAAGGGCAAAAATATTTTAAGTCAAATGATAGCGATTGTTGTATGAGTCGTACGATTTTTGAATCAAGCACGGGCAACGCCGAGCCATGCTGCTAGGATTAGTAAAGTTATTGATAATTTCCGATATCTACATATTGTCATTGATTGTAAGAAAGACAAAACCTCAAATGAGAAACAAGATATTAATGTTATTGAGTGATGTGAATAAAACATTGGAAATTACAAAAAGTTAAGACATAAAAAAACAACCAAAAAAAGAAAATTGAAAAAATTGGCAAGAGCAAAAACTAAAGTAAACAACTTTCAGAATATGACAAAAAACGATCTAAGAAAAATTCAGAAAAATAAGCAAGGAAATTGGATTAATCAGCAAGAAAATATTTGAAGAAGCTGTTGTTGTGACAGAAAATATGCAGAATATTAAAAACAATGGCTCAACCTATGCAAGCAAACAAATTATCACATTTTTTGAATAATAAAGCAAAAGTTTTTTAAGATGGGTGAGGAAATACCTGAAGAAAACTGATTTCTCTATTTGTTTAATGGTGACTGAAGACTGGCCAGTGTTTTGGTCCTTTATAGAAATAATCAACCAACACATCTTAGAAAAGAAAATGAGTGGTAATGTTCTGGGCTAGTATTGCCGCTTTAGGTCTTTCCAAAATTAATGTTGGCGTCAAGGTATATGCAGAGAATTATTATAAGTTTTATGAACAAGAAACAAGATATTTTTTTTTTGAGTGGTACAGGTTTTCTTAACCAAGAAACTAAGTTAAACAGAATATTTATACAAGACAATATTCCTTTAAAATCTGCAAAGCTGACGTCTCCAAAAAAGACATCAATGAAAAATAAAATGAAATGTTCCGCAGCCTCCCCAATAAGCCAATAGAAAACACTTAAGAGATGTATATGAAAATGAAAAACAATCTTCCAGTAAAGTCTAAATATGATCTCTGGGAACTGGGAAGCAACAACAACTATTGAATGCTAAAAAGTCGAATGAGTAGAAAAGAACAAAAAAACAATGGGTGAAAAACTGGAGAATGTCAAGAAGTCGACAACACGTCAAAATGATAATTTATTCAGATTTATGATTCAGACTGTTCAAATATAAGTTTCTGCGGATTCCGTATGGATTTCTGGAATGAGGTGTTGTTATTTCATTTACAATATGCAGACTATTGTCTTCATGTTTGTTATCACAAACAAAGATGAGGCAATAGTCCGCATATAAATAATGTTTCTGTGGCATACATTTTTATTTTTTATTTTATTCTTACGTTGCACTTTTTTGCATAGTAAAATTTAACATAGGAGTTGTTCGTGTAAAAATGTATATCCTAAAATTTTTTTTAAAAAGTTATGATATTGTTCGTATGTATATCCTAAAAAATTATTAGTTGATTACCAGTTTTTTATGCATGAAATTAAAATCTGACTGTAGAGAAAACTTTTTAGCGTATGCATATTAAACAAAAAATTGGATTTTGGACCTGTGATTCCTAACTCGTAAGTAGTAAAGTAAAAAAACTAAAAAAACGATACGTAATAAAAAATATAGGAAATATTAGATTAAAAAGTACGGCAAAAAGCACTGATGACAGCAGTTTCAATATGAAATTGTGAAAAACTACTAAAGTAAAAAAAAACCTCATAAAAACGTTATTTATCCCACATTAGAAATCTCTTCAAAAATCAAATTCGAATATATTTTGTTGATAATTTGGATTATTATTTACCTTTTTACTTTATCATTACCATGATTTTTCCCTAATCTTAAAGTTTACTTTACTTTGACTGCATTCCAAGAGAGAAATCGTGGAATGCAGTCAAACACCTGACCATATTATTGAGTTATTTGAAAGAAATATATATTTTTACAGTACACAATCAATCAATCAATATTTTACAAGAATTACACTTTTTTTTTCTTTTTTGAGACTAGTTTTACTTTTATTTCAATCAATGTCAATGAGATTCAATATTTTTTAAGCAAGTTAAAAAAGAAAAGTTAAGTTCTGTTAAAGTAGATCTTTTTTTTTTTCAAGTACCCCAGAACAAATTGATTTGTTCTTTAAAAAAAAAAAAAAAAAAAAAACTGTCAGCAACAAGTGTGGAAAAAAAAAGATACGTCTGATGTTACACATTTAAATTAAAATTTTCTTTTTAATTTTAAATTGTTTAGCGTGACCGAGTCAAGCAATCTCTAGCTCAGTCAAGCAAGCAAGAAAAGATTGACAGAAAAAGCTCTCACACTTGACTTAAGTAATTAGTAACTTCATCGATCTAACAGGCGTGAGAGTTCAACTATCTCGATCAAATATTATCAACAAATGTCTGAAAAGCATTTTTAAGCTGACAAATATGATTAAATAAAAAAAAAGTTTGATTGAAACTGAAGTAGACTTGAAGAAGAATTATTTAAGCTAACTAACAAGTACTAACTAAATTAAAAATTAAAAACTACTCGAAAAAGAGCCGTGACAAGCAAATATCACTTGGCATCGTTTGATCGATATCTTTTTTCTTCTTACTTATTGTTTCTAAAAAGTAAAACCGGAATGTTTTTATTTGTGTTCGATATCTATCTATTCAATATTCCTATCACACACACTACAGGATTTATGACAAATAAATAAAATGTTTTTGTTCAAGAATTGTCTTAAAACTGAACTTTGAAATGGAGGAAGATAAATTTGAAAAAAAATAAATAGTGTACGCAAACTGGTTTCACTTAAGAACTGCTTAAATTAAAATTACATAAATTTAGAATGCAGAAAAACTGGAAGCATGAAAAGGAAATCATTTACATTACAATGAATACGTCTACTGGTCATTCAGATCGCCAAGGTGAAGGCCCATTTCCTTGACAATTTTTTTTTTAAAATTGTTAAATCAATGGGATGTAAACAAGACATGTATTGTAAATCTTCGGAGGAATTTAAATTAGAAAAATAAGACCGCTAAATTAAGTTATTTTGACGAAATTATAGAGACTACAGTACACAACTATTTTTAAACTACAAAGTTGCTGATAACAAACAGGTGCTGTACGGTTTAAGTAGATTAATTTAATAACTATTGTTACATTTTTTAAAAATAATGCGAAAAGATGATGTGACAATGATAACACGTGCCTCTTTTTATTGGATTTAAAAAAGTTAAATCTCATCACTGAATAAAAAAAAAATGGTTTTATTAAAGAAAAACATGATGTGTAAGGTGAAGATCCAATGTACGTACATCCAACACTTTAAAAAAATATATTTTTTAGCAATTTAAATCAATTCGGTAGAGTACACAGATAAGAAAATTTTTAAGTACTCTGATTTTTTTTATTTCATTCTGTATTTCTCAAAAACAAATAAGTCAAATTACACGCTCTAATTAATTACTTGAGTTTGAATTGAACGATAATGTCGTTTTCAGTTTTTTGTAATTAAGTGCTTGAAAATTGCATAATTTTTCATTTTTTTTTAACTAAAGAAAATTGTCATTATTAGACACAGTTAAAAAAAAAAACTGGATTTAAATTTTAAAGTTAGCAAAAGGAATTCAAACTTTAAAATTTGTACTTATTCGGGCGTAAATCAGTGTTTAAATGCCGTTTTGAGAAATTTCCCTTTAAAAAAAAAAAACAAATGGATTTATTTTATTTATGAATTTAAAATCCAACAAGAATTACCTAAAAAGTTAAAAACCGAATTGAAAAATGTAAGTTTAAAGATTTTTCGAAATGAAAAATAAAATGCTATGGTTATTATTCAACTGTACGGATTACTTTTGAAAACTCCTCTTTTCTTGAGTTTTACTTTTACAGTTTTTTAGGGGTCTTTTTTTTTTTTTTTTTTAAATCAAAGTTAAATTGTTTATTAGATTCGATGTTATAATATATTTTCTTACCTTAAATTTCATAACAATAACTGCAGGTTTTAATAATTATAACAAACACGTTAGATTTATTTTAATATTTAGTTATTAAAAAGAAATTGGAACAAGGCGAGAGGCCGGTGAATAAAAAAAAATGTCATGTCAATCAACATATCATCTGACCAAGTTCAACACTATTTACATCGATAACATAAATGTCATCATGTTGGGTTTTTTTTTAAGGCTAAATAAAAGAGGACAAAGTATTGTATAGATGAATCAAATTATCTGTTGCTTTAAAAACTAAAAAAAAGGAAAGGAAATAAGAGCGGAGAACCCAACAAAGTAACCAGGACTTTAGCAGCCGATACCCATCTTGAGTGCGTGGACTGATTTGCGTCTCAGCAAACTGTTCATCCCAGCCATTACTGACTCGTATGGGTAGATGATACTTTTAGAAAGACACTGGGGAAATAAATATGGTTATAACATTTACCGTATCGGCACTTGATGGCAATGTACCACCTTGCGGAGCTCCCAAAACCTTTCGGAAGTAATTCATGTTGCTACTGTTAGCGTGTCTTCCGGCCACTGCGCATGCGCCGTCGACGTGGCATATCCCGTCATGCACATTTATTTATCCTCTCATCACATTTTCGTAAACCAACAAGAAAATCTAATAATGTTCTTTGTTTTACTTTCTTTTGCTTATCTTCTATTTTGCTCTTATTATTTTTTTCACGCTCAAACTGTATTCATTTCTTGCCACTTGTTATTTTAGTAAACGTAGTTCTAACATCTAAGCTTCGAGCTAAGGGAAGCTACCCTTGTTTCTGTTTTTATTTTATATTTGTTTTTTTTTTTTAAATTTAACATGAATATTTTTAATGCGTAGTACAAGTATTTTTTTTTTTTATCAATTTCACTGAAACAAATTTGGACACTGACAACCTTACACTCTTTAACAACAAGGTGATACTTTCAAAATGTACAAGTTATTTAATGACAATGAAAGCAATATAAAATTTTAAAAAATACATTCATTAGTGTTGTGCAAAAAACCCTTACTCAGTTGAATAACAACCCTAAGTTACCATTAAATTTGATAATTTTCACAACCTTAGAAAAGACTATAAATATTTATTTCTTAGTCTAATAATAATAATTAATAATAATAACATTTAGCTGATATGGAAATACAGTACAAAAATATGGAATGTTTGAAGGTGTGAGCTATAAACAACCGGGCAAAAATTAACCTATGGCAGGAGACACTACAATTAAAAACCAAGTCCAGAGAGCCCTAAAACAAATACACATAAGACTTGTACCTGATTTCTAGAACAAAAATAAAATTAGCTTCACTTGAGCCAATTTGATTTTTTGGAAAACTCAAACACATCAAAATACACGTGTATGCAGATAAAAGAATTAACCAATCAAATGGTTCTATTTAGTTTTCCAAACTCATAAGCCTCAGAGCTGGTCCTTAATCCAAGAACAAATAAACGTGAACTAGCAAACAAAAAGTCAAAAATTCATTCACATCAAAAGTAACAAAAAGATACTGCAGTGTCTTAAAAAAACAAACAAAAAAAAAAACAAACAAAAAAAAAACTGACTGACACCAGCTTCTAATTGACAGTCTTCTTCCTGGACTTTTATACATGAACAAACTTCTTTTTTCTATCATTATCTTTCTTTCACATAAAACAAAACCCTTTTAAACTTAAAAACCGTGAACCTCAAAAAATAACATTACTGAAGAATCTTTTCACACATTTTTTTGCAAATAAGGTCTGCAAAGTAGCAGATTTTTTTTCTGGGCTGATTGGTGACCAAGACTAGAAAGCCCCAGAACCTATAGCTTGCAGAAGAGGTGGTTTCATACTTTTCCCATGAATAATTATCAATATGAACAAAAAATTTTTCGATCAGAATATGAAATTCAAATTGCCAATTTTATTTTCTATTCTAGTTGACATTCTGGGAATTTTGAACACAACAAACAACTGAAGGCCAAAGGGTACACAACGGTAAAAAGTAAAACATTACGACACAATCAAGATGAGCACACCAGTTCAAATAAATCCGTGAATATTAATGCTAATTAATTTTCTTCATAATTTCGGATAATTAACAGTTAATTTTATATTGTAAGGAAACATTTATCAAGAATAAACGTGTGAACTTTTTAACTAATACATTAAGTTTCTTTTTTTTTTTTTTTGCAAGGTCTTAATTTTTAAGTGATTTAAAATTGTATATTTTCAGAATCAGAGAGTATTTGACCACTAAAATTCTGATAAAAATAAACAAGAAAGTGAAGAAGAATAAGTACTCAAAAATAACATGATTTGTTGAATACTGAACTTTTAAAGCCTTAGTAGGGAAATAGTTATACATTTGCTATTGTTAAAAAAAGCGTTTAGCGTTCAGGTTCAAAGAAAAAAAAAAAGCTAGCATTTTAAATACTAATTTTTTAGATGAGCCGATCATCTTTCTGTCCGTATTTGGCTCTGTATCAAGCTCAACTAAATTTAGTTTATATCCAACGTTTATAAATTTTATGACGTTAAATATTTTTAGGGAGACAATAAGGACGAAAAGAATACAAAGTTATCTCCCTTAGTTTAAAATATATTCGAATTTAAAAAAATCTAATTAAAAAAATCTATGAACTTAAATGTTTGTTGATAGAATATTTTTAAATAATTACTTTTACGACCGAATTACTCATTAAATAATATTATTTTAAATGAAAAATTTTATTTACATATATATTTACTGATATATAGTTCTTTGAATTTTTAGACCTTTTCTAGTCCTTCTATGTTTAAAACAACTATTAAAAGCGTTTTGTAGTCCTAGAAAATAAAAAAAATATTTTGATCTTTTACAAGTTATTTCCTAATAAGTCAAAAATGTTCTTTTTTCCTGTGATAAATTATTAAGTCATGTTATCATTCTTTTGAGAATTACTTTATATGGAAGATGGTATTATGACAGTGTTCAATGTGGGTAGAAGACTGCAGAAGTTGGTTCCAAAAATTTGCTTGGCTCGAGAAGAAGCCACTAAATTTGTACAGAAATAGTAGAAAGCAAATCCCAAGATATAAAATATATTTTTTTAGCCAATTGCAGTAGATAAAAAAAAAAAAAAATGAGCCTCCTAAGTATTATAAAAAATAAAATTTTTCAATAGTCAGAAATGCCAGCCCAAATTTAGTCATTATACACTATAACTCAGGAATGCCAGTTTGCAAAGACTACTTTTCTTACCATTTTGATGAAAGCTAATGGCAAAAACATCAAATTACTCAATGACGACAGCAACAGTAGCAACACTAAACTGAGTTAGAATATCCTTATCTTTCTGTCAACATTTTCAATCTTTTTGATGAATTCTTTCTGCAAACTCTAAAACTACTTTCTTGCTTCCAAGCTTTACAGCACGTAGACCATATATTTCACATGTGAAGATTTTATTCTATAAATAGGGTACAAATCAAGATACATCCTTAACATCCAAAGCTTTGTATAATGTAAATAAATTGCTCTGTTGAAAATTATAACTAATTTATTATTTTATTTATAAAATTTAACTTTATCAAACTCTCAACTATAATTACATTTCACAGTTAAAAAAAAAAAAAAAAAAAAATAAAACAATAGTTTAGAAAACTTTAATCTTTACTTAAACCAGATAAGGGTTAGGTTTATCAGAATGGGAGATTATTCTTTTTTTAAAATACAAGTCTCTTCAGTATCCATACTGAGGACCAGCAATCATACTGTTGTTTTGATCACAATTTTTCAAAGATGATTATTCTAGTCAAGATATTAAGAATATTTATAATATAATTAAGAATATGAAAATACTTCATCTCAGAATTTCAGACAATACTTAAGTTAATGTTATCACTTATAGCTTTTTATATATATATATATATATATATATATAGCTTTTATTGACTACCTTGTTTTCCTTATGAATCTGCCATCACAGTGTCAAGATAATAATATCATAGGAAAAGAGAGCTTGTTGACCTCAAAATCAGAATCCTGCCAGATTATGAAGGCTTCTGTAACCTAATGATTAGGGCATCATTTATAAAAGATGTATTTTTGATGTATGGGATTCAAGTTTATCACTTTGAAAACTATTTTTTTTATTCTTATTTCCTGTAGTTTTCACTAATGCCCCAAGAATAGATCAACTCAAAACATTGTTGTAAAAAAAAAAAAAATAAATAAATAAATAAATATGAAAGTTAATGACAAAAATATATATACAAGCACATGCTGAATATTTTTCTCTGCTCATTTAGTTAGTTTTTGGGAAATGGTAAACATCAGAATTTAAAAAAAAAAAAAATCCTTTTTGATTGGGTAGAGAATGTTTCAACATCTTGTAGTAAGAGAAAATTTTTTGGGTGAAACTTTTTGATAAGATTTGTAAAAAGTTTTTTTTTTTTTAATTTTTTTTAAGATTAATATCAAATTAAAAGCAACAATTATAATACCCCAATTTACTGACAAGTATCCTTATCTTGTTTTTTACTGTCAATGTTTTGGTCATTTTACCCTCTGGCCTTTTCAGCTGTCTGGCATAATTGGTAGCCTTCTGGGAATTTCAAACCAAACCCAGAAACTGCAACAGACTCCTGAAGAAGGCCTGAGAATACATATAAGAATCAAAATGACAACAGATTGAGTAAATTAATGTGTAACAGTTGCTATGATAAATTTACTCTCATAAACAGAAGCAAAAATTATAAAATAACAATTTGTGTAATTATAGAAATGAAAAGGAGAAAAACAACTTATCAATAGGAACCCCTTTGTCGTAACATTCTGTATATCTTATCAAGATTCTTGTTTGGAATGCTGAAATTGATCATGAATAGTTTGAAATCTAACTTTTCAAAATTTTTCAATAAAAATTATTTGTGTGCAAAAGTTTCTAGAATTTTCTGGTGAAAGAAAAATGTTTTCTCTTGTATAATCAGTTTACCATTTTAAAAAAGAAAGAAAAAGGGCACTGGGAATTTTAGCAAACATCCAACAAAAAAGAAAATGAATTAAATTATTAATTCATAAAAACTTTACAAAGATAATGCAGCAGCAACAACAATGAACATGCTGATGCTATTATATCAAAGTCTTTCATGTCTTTATAGGTTGTCACAAACTGGAACTATATTTGACCTTAATTGTATTTTTTCTTTTTTAAATATTGAAATTACCAAACCTTTTTCTAACATAATTTAAACTTTCAAAAATAACTCATGTTCACATTTGTGCATTCTACCAAATTAAATGTAATCCCAGAATATTCTAATAAAAGCAATACTTTAAAATGATGGTAAGAGACTAATAAAAAGAAAACTGGTACCATCAACACTGGAGGACAAAATAAATATAGTTCTTATTAGCCAACAGATTTAACAAACAATGACAAGATATTTTTTTCACTTAATTGTTGATGAATTCAACTGATGAAAGAAATTAATTGGATAGGGTAACTTTATCATCCCTATATAAATAATAATTCTTATG